TTTTTTTTTTTTTTGCCTTTTTTTTTGCATACAAAACTTTGGTATGTTAAGATCGACAAGAATGGAAAACTGTTTTCGCATCACAATAGCAGTTCCATTCTTTTTGCTGCTGCTACTGCTGTTAGTGTCGAAGCTGTTGTTGTATCCATAAACTAAGCAAGATTTCCAGAAAACAAGCAGAATCATCTTTTACAAAGCTATTATCTATTTTGTTCAGCCAATTGAACAGAGTAGAAAAAAAACTTGTCGAAGAAACAAGGGAAAAACAGCATTAAAAACGATAGCAGCCACAGCAACAGCGGCGGCAACAGCAGCAGCAGTAGGAGGATTAGTGGCAAGAATAAATCTAAAATCAAATGTATCAGCGCCAAAAGTTATGTTGGGATACTTAGTACAGCCATCTAAATCAAAAAATGCTTATATTTTGTCTGTTTAAAAACGTATTTTATTGACGGCCTAAAAAAAATCAGAAAAAAAAGTTTGAGGGTAAAACTTTGTAAAAAATTTTTGATGGATCAAAACAGAAAATTAAACGGCACATAATCCAGAACTGAATGACACACAGAACTCCATGTAGTAATGAGAAAAACAAAGAATACGCAGAAAGAAAAAAATTTGCAATTTTTTTTCAATATTTTATGACATTTAAAGAAATGAACATACAGAGGAGGAAACAAGAAAAAAAATTATTGAATTTATTCGACAATCATAATGATGATGATGATGCAGCTTTTTGTTGGTTTATCCTTGGGTTTCACTCGGTCAAGAATAAAAGAAAGATCCTCAGAATTAAACAGAACAACAAGTGTAGTAATCGAGATCATTTTTATGAATAAAAAACTTTTGAACTTCATTCACATATTAATGCTTTCGTTTAACATTTATCATCCGAAAAAGTCAAAGAAAAAAACCAGTGAACAAAAACCTCCTTAACTTGAAGATCAAAAAAAAAAGAGTAAAAGAAAAATAGTTTGATATATGTGTACGTATGTAAACAAAAAGTTTATTAATGTAGCACAAATATGATAATATTTGTTCAAAAAAAATTCAAAGTTTTTTTCCTAAGTTGTTTACATAGAAAATTTCATGCCTACTCCTTTTTCCCATTCCTTATGTCCATCTTCTTCTTCTTCTTCACCTTCTCTTCCACTGGCACTCCTCTGAAATTTCTTGTCAGCCGTTAGCCATCTAAACACATATGCGAAACCAACATTTGTTATCTCTAATAAGATCTAAAGACAAAAAAAAAGTAAAGTTTTCCACAGTATAAAGAAGATCTGAAAAAATACAATTTTGAACAGTATTGTAGACAAATCAAGTCAAGAAGAAAAAAGACCAAAAAGTTGATGAGACCGAAAACTTTGTTTTTCCGCCGTAAATGAGGCAATAAGGTCCGAAAAAAGAGGTTTGTTCAGCTAATTTTTTTTAGTGCAAAAAGGAAAAGTAACGAGCAAAATAAACCGAAAGGAAAGACTTGGAAAACGAGAGGTCGGAAAGTAGCGAAGAGGGTGGAGTGCCAGTGAAGGGGAAGCTAAATCCAGTTGAAGCTTCATGGAAACCTTTTAAAGGTTACTTTTGTGCTATTACTGCTTCATATTTCTTTCATACCTCCCGTTTCATACTTCTCCCTCATCCGTTTATGATGATTTGCATGTTATTATGCTTCTTGTGGATATAATTATAATAATGATTATTTTAAAAAATGCCAATATTATTATTATCGCTCTATATAAAAGTCTGATAAGAAAGTAAAATTGCACTGAAAAATGCATTAAAAAGAATCTACCAAATAAAAAATGTCCAAAAAATTTTTTTGTTACTTTTTTTTTGTTGTTTTTAAAGTTGTCCTAGACAAGGCAGTTTTTTTGCGACAGGTGAAACAGACGACAACACAAAGCAGCATCGGCAGCAGCAGACGAATGAGGTGTAGAAAAGTCGTTTGAAAGATTAAGATTATTTTTTTGACTACCAAAGTAAACTGAAGAATTCTGTCAAGCAAAAAAAAAAGGGAAACTATTGAAGGAATGATTAAATGAATAAATGAATAGATGAATA